AACATCAATACAAAATTCTTAAACATATCAAAAGATGCCAGAAAACTGCCGAAAACAGTGGGGTTCACAGAGGCAGTCGATAGCATGCAGCAACTTCCTCCGTGGCCCAACGGCCTCCGTCCCCATATCCTTAAGCTTCTTCATAGTGAGATTCGCCAGGTGGAATTTGTTCACGCTCCTTGCCCGGAAAACCCTCACAAAATGGCCGAGCCCGAGCGAAACAAGCCAATTCTCCAACCCGCCTGCTCTATTCAATTTCTTCTCGAGATACGAGGCACGCATCCTTCGATNAAATAGCACTACCATCACAAAATATCACATTTTTGCCCTTGCCCTCTCCACAAGGTGGGGAATTGTCTGAAGCAGTCCTATTGCTCAAACCCAATGGCTTTTGAAAAGCTAAGCTGGGTTTACGCGGATGGACCATTGAAGGCGGATGGGTATTATCCTCTTTTGGAGATAAAGACTTTGATTTTCGCGTTTCTTGATGTGACTGTGAGCTACAACTTGCAGGGTTTTCCATTGCGGGCAGCGGTGGGATTAAGATAGTGACTTTCTGCTTCTTCACCAGAGTCCAATCTTCTTGTTGGTTTTTGCTATGCTCTCGACGGGTGGGTCTCGGTTTTTGCTTCACCATTTGTTGTGTATCTGCACAAGTAGGGAAAACAAGAATCCAAGCCTCAACAGTGCATGAATATAAAGATCTTCTTGTGGTTGGTTATCCAAATTCTATCATTTTTTGAGCCCTAAAAACTTCTCAAGGACCTCAACTATTACAGGGGATCATTACTAGCATAACTATATCAACATTTCCCAAAACAACTTTGCAAATACCAAGTCTTAAAGAAATAGATAGCATCCCATTAAATGAAAATAACCTAATTCTTCCCAAAAATGGAACAAAACAGCACCAGCAAAATCTTCAAAATTACTGCAGTTGCGCTGAGGCGCAGTTTTTCAAGCTTCGTAAACATGTAAATCCGCCATTAGTCCTCTCCGATTTGAAGCCATTGATATGGGAACGAGTTTGGATCTGAAGGCCCCAAATGAAGACAAAAAGATTTTCCTATGAACATCTAATAAACATCTCGAAAGTAAAATACGAAATAACTTGTGATGTACTCTTACTCCTTTTTTTTTAAAAGGATAATCAAAATTCAAAAGCTCCAAGATGAATGCCGCCTCGATCTCCTTCTCCAATGGGGTACGGTTTATTTCTGCAGAAATATAACTATTCGAGTCTTACGGTTTTCTTTTTCCTTTATCCTTTTTTTTTTTTTAATTGTTTTACAGTTTATAACCTTTTTTTCTGATTATTTT